TTCAACTCCTGATACCACTTTCCTGTGACAGCTGATGCTAATCTTTCCTTTCAACCTCCAGTGATGCATCCCTTCTAGATCCAGCCTCACTGAACCCCTTATTTCTATCCCTTCTCTATCTTACGTTTAGTTTCCTCTGCAGTCAAATCAGACAACTTTTCCATCATGCAGCCAAGAGTCAGGAAAGAACACACGGGAACTACTGAACAGACAGGCACAGCTTTACTTGCACCCAGAGCAGAAAAGAAGCAGACTCTGTAAGGGAAAGCTTCCACTGTAGCTTTGGGAAGAACCCACCAAGACCTGCCAGGGCTGAGAAAGCTGAGTGAAAAACCTTTTTAAAAGATGTCACTGAATCCAGGGTTTCCAATGAACACATATAAATAGTTCTTTTTCAATAAGCTCTGTAGTTGCTTAAGTTTGTGAAAACTTCTACAGAAGTGGCAGAAGATGACTTCTGTGTAACAGGAGGGTTACATCCCTGCCTCCTCTAAAATGCTAGACTGCTAATGATTTTTCAGAAACAAGGTTACAAGAACTTATGTATTTGTGCATTAGCAAAATTACAATTTCTGGAAGTCTCTCAATGCTAATAGTTGGAGATTCGCTGTGAAAGTTTATACACAGACTGAACTGAACACCTGGCATGGAAAACATTGGAAGGCATCAGCTGACCTTAAGAGACAGTGCTATCAGCCTTGCTGATAACATGCTGTCTCCTTCTCTCTTTTACACAATTGCACACACAGTCTGAGTTGGAATAAACTATAGAAAAGAACACCACACAAATACTAAACTGAGGAAAACCTTCAGATGAAATTGTGTAGGTTAGCTGAATTAGCAGAAGATGAAGCTGTGTGCCTACTACCCAGTCAGGTACGGGGAGCAGGAATATTGCAGCATCCTTTACAGCCCTGCAATACTTCATCCACACACCTTAATTTCAGTTGACAATGTCATCAGTGTAACTTACAATACAGCAGCATGCCCATTGCTTGTCACGGCCCGTACAGAAATCAGTGGGCATTTCTGTTTTCTGAACAAAGTAAACATACCAGATTCCAGGACAAATCTTTTTTTTTCTGTAAACCTCTGTACCATCACAGGCTTTTCTTCTGCTTTTTAAATCAGTTCACAGCTGTTATGTGGTGGAGAAACTAGTATTCACAGCAGGGTCAAAAATAACTGTAGATATTACCACAGTACTGGTTCCATCAAGTACCAAGACAGAAACAGCTGCAGTGCTTACTAAATACACCCTAACCCTGTTTTTCCTCACTGCCCAGGTAATATACAACTTAGACCACCACTCACTTCAGACTTTGGCTTAGAGTACTTGGCACAACTATTACTACAGGGAATTAAAATGATCTGTTAACTTACTTTCCCTTATCAGCAGCATTAAACATGTGATTTATTTTGCAAAAAGAAGATGAGGCACTTAACCTTTCTGAAACCACATGAAAAAAACTATTGCATATGTAAGAAATTCATATCTGCAGCCTTAAGGCATCTGTATGAG